CCTTACAGATGCTGTTTTACTTTATAGTCTAACCACAGTGCTGTATTTTGTTATACTTTACTACTAGCCTGAACACTAGCTCAGTGTTCTTGCGCTCAGTTTCGTCTCTGCGCGTGCTCGAAGCCGTCTCTGCTCGCGCTCGACCTGCTCTCTCCGCGCTCAACACCAGCTGTGCGCTCGGCTGTTTCTCCGCTCGCTCGACTCTCAGTGACCATGGAAATATTTCAAATGTATGTGATTGTTTTCAAAAAATAAAATGCATGTAGAAAAATTTGAATTTATGCCAAAACTCACACTACCTTTGCAGATCAGCAGTAGCCTATTTCTTTCTGTAAAGACGCGATATAAGGAGGTAGGTAATACTTCTTACTTACTTTGAAAAACAAACAAACCATGGTTATGTTGTGTTAAATTATTATGCTCCTACCTTAGTTGGCTTTATTTTAGGTCTTTTGGGGTTGTAACGGAGTCGGAGGAGTTAACTACTGTGTAGAGCCTATTTCTCTGAAAATCTGACAGTAACTGCAGATCAATGTCAATCACTTTTTAGGAGTTATATTTGATATTTCATTTAAATGTATGTTATTTCAATCTTATTCTTAGCAATATTGTTTTTTTAATATATAATAAACTTCTTCCTCTGTATTTTATGCCATCCCCTCACCTCATAACTGCCAGGAGCACATATCTTGTCCCTGTTCAAATAGGGATCTGTGTAGATCACGCATAACTCACCCACTCAATGGCACATTCGCTTTCTGTTCTTTTTTTCATATTTTTTGCATAAGCCTTTTATCATCACTTATGTTGATTCCCTTTAGACCAGACTTTTAGTGTTTTTAGGGACATTAAATGATTGCTAGACAATTATGTAAATGAAGGTTTCTCTTGAAGTAACAGATCTCTGTATGCCGACTTTATATAGGAAGTATCGAAGAAACATTTCTACAACATCACACTTTCTAGGAGATCCAGAAATGGAGAACTATCTGAGAGGGAAGAGTAACAACACAGGTCTCAGTTCCAATGTACTTTTTAAAAGGTGCCCAGAAGGTCCAAATGAACTCTTGCAGAGAAAGAAAAGAAAAGATCAAGGTAATTTTAACACTCTTGTATGTAAAGACCAGAAAATAAATCCAATATTGGACAAACAATGCTGGAATTGCATGTGAAAAATGTATAAGTTTGTATTCCGGTGAAAGTATGATGCAAAAATGCAACCTCAACTGACTGTAACTTTCAAAGAGGCTTAAGTAAAAAAATAAAATAAAAAAATATTGCCTTTATTGTATTTCATAAAAAGAACTGCAGTTACAAAAAGAGATTTTAATTGACACTGAAACCTTTATACCCATGCCATTGAACCATGCATAAAGGAATATATACTTTGTTTAGCTATATAATTATATAACTTCAGATTTACTCAGGGAAAAATCTAGGCTTATAGAAGCTATTTTATGGAGTTATTCAGAAGACCTTCATGCAGCAGCAGCTTGATGAAATTATTTTAGAATCACAATATTTTTACATGCATCAAAGCATATGTCCGAAACCTTGAAATCTTTTTACATTGGTCTGATCAATTATAATCTTGTACTAAGCTGTTTTAATTGTCTTATGTTTTCTGAATGCATTTAATATATAAAAGGTGGAAAAAACTTAAGGAGTGAAAATTACTGTAAAATTGGTTTGAAAGTGTTTGTTTCCAAATCTATGTCAATTCTGCACATTTTTGCCTTTTCCGCCTTGTCAGTATTTACATGCAGTTGCATCTAAGCTGTCATTCCTATGTCTCCAGGCGGTAGTAGCAATGTTAGAGAATAAAACGACCAACCTTGTGGATGACATCACTCTGCTGGAAATAAAAGTGTCTGCTCAGTAAGTTATCTATGACATTTGGCTT